TCTACCCATGCCTGTTTAAGCATGTGAACTTGTTTCGGCAGTTTTGGGAACATTTTTGTATTTACTTCGTTACCGCTTAGCTTCCTCTGGCTGGTGTCGCTGCCTTTATGTTTATTACTACGACATGAACTCTTGCACACTTCTTTTAGGATCTTAAAGTAGCAGAAGAAAATAGTTGAAATAGCAACAATGAACTTTACAACCATTTCACCAACCTGACATTTCCATGTTTCTTCTGTCATTGCATATCCACAAACTAAAAAATACTTGTTGAATCCAAATTCACCTACGCCAGCAATCGTTGGTGATACTGAGATTAAGGATGCAATCCAGACGGCTACACAGTACAACACTGTACGTCGATTGCTATATAGTTTGGCATAGTACATGTTCTTTACTATACAAATGTAACGGTTTAGTGATATTGCCAGGAGATTTAAGACCGAAGCTCCCATAGAAATGGCTGATATAGCACCTACAGCAGCACAGAATTCTTTGGACAACGGCCATTTGCGGTGATACAATGCCAGCATGTAGAACGGCTCGGCAATTAAACAAACAATAATGTCGGAAATGGCCAGATTCACTAAGAAATAGTTTGCTGTAATCTGTAATTTATTTGTACAAAGAATCGCAATGATTGTTAACATATTTCCGAAAATTCCAACCAAGCTCATGATGGCAAGTATTATGATTTGGATGACGGCAATAACATATATTGATGAACGCATAATCGTGTCAGTGGCGTTTTTATCTGTGTGGTCGGCCATTCCTATGAAATAGTGAGAAAAGTCAAATGTGAAAAGAAGCACAATCAATGAAATTGTCAATTTGCTCGTTTAAAAGAATCAAAATTAATTGAACTTCCAATGAAAGGATTCAATACAATTTATTGTTTAGTGATTTACTATATTATACCAACGATTGCACCAACCACGATTTCTATGCAAAATGAGTCGCACTTAATTATCTGCTCAATATTCTATACCAAAGCAACACATTTTTAATAATCACATTTTCCAATGTTTCCTTAAGGCATTCACTTTGCAAATTTCTAGGTTACCGCAAGTTGATTTTCTTGTAGCTATGACTTTATGGTTGCCGCATCCAAAAATAGATTGTGTTTTTGTGCATAAGTGTAAGCAAAATCTTCAACCATTGTACATCAATTTAATATTACAGAAAGTTCACCAACCATTATTTTTTTTGCATCATTTTAATTGTGTGACTTGTACAGTACATTTATTATGGATATTATCTGCTTTGAAATGTATTTGAACAGTTTAGGCCAGATATGTTCTTCCGGGTGGAGGGCCAACTTCACAGTGCTTCGGGCCCGACAGATGTGGACTACTCATTCCTACAAATTACTTCTCCCCCAAGGGTCCTGCCGTGTCATGCACAAACCAAGAAGGTGCACTGTCTAGTCCGCTGTGACGGGCTGTGAGATGGACCACTACACCGGGGTAACCCTCTACTCGTACTGGGTTCTTTATAGTGCACAAGAGCCAAATGTGTACACTGGGCCTACGGTTTATAGTCCTTATCCGAGAAGAAACATAGGCAGGGGCAGATCTGGTTTCAAATTTAGGAGGGGGGTCAGAATGTTTTAAAAAAAAAACCCAAAAAGAAAGGGGGTTCGGGGTCCTCCCTCTGGAAAATTTTGATTCCTAGATAGCAGGAAATGTGCTTTCCCGACTTCTGAAGTGTCTTTAAATGACTTTTAAGTTCTTCAGAATTCAAGGTTCTATACCCTCTTGAAAAAGGTCAGGTAAATTTTTCTCATTCTTATTACAGTAAATGGACCTATTA